GTAAACCAGGGAGCCTACTCTTAGCCATCATGGCTAGAACTGGAACACAAAGCAACCCTTAAACCAATAACCTGCAGGAGGGAAGGCTCTGATCACGTCTGGCACAGCTCCATGATGATTCATTCCTTGAAACTGGATTTTTTTTCTTCCCTTGAACATAATACGGTCGATGTCTGTGTGTAGTGGGGTTTCATTAGCAAGCGGTAAGGAGTGGGATGGAGAGCCGAGCCGGTGTTAGAAATCTCAAGTATACACAGGCATGTTTGAGAGCTCAGAGGAGGGAGAATCCTTTCTGATAGAGAAACACACAGGATTTATGGGGGAAGCTAAAAGGTGATCTGAGCCAGGGAGAATGGTAAGTTTTTATGAGAATATGCTGAAGATAAGGGGGAATATTCCCAGCCAGGGAAGACTTGAGCACAAGGAAGGGTGGGAGAATAGCAATCGTTCTGTTCTGACTGATTTGGAAGGAAGGTTGGGAAGGAAACATGATCCCCTGTTGAGGGGGACTCTACGGAAAGGTGACAGATGAAGGGGAAACCAGCCGTCTACACTGCAGCCTGAGTTGGCCCGCGTTGTCTCCTTTCTGATAATTCTAAGAGAACAGATCTGTCTTGATAACGTTGACAATTTACCAAGCCGTGGAAGCTCGTTCACTGATCCTATCTCTTGGCTTTCCTGTGAGGTGGTCAAGTGTATTATCTTCCTCCTAAAATAAACACAGAGAAAGAGCATCCAGGACACAGGCACAAAAACAGCTTTCAGATCATCCACAGGCAGAGGCTGGAGTGAGGGCTAAATATCCACAGGGAAGGCAGGAGAGGGGGCAAGACAGGGACTTCCTTCCCTAAGATTATGACCACACAAGGACCAGGAACTGGAAATCACTACAGGACACTAAACAGCCATCTGTTGGTCACTTAGAATAACGAATGTCCCTCTTCTCAACAGCAGCCTGGAGAGTTAAAATGGGGCTTCTCCTGCACTCCCCCCTTACTGGCTATCTGACTTGGACCTGTTACCACACACGTGAGCCTCAGTTTCTTCACTTGTGAGATGTGGAAAATGGTACCTTGTATGTGTTGTTGGCATAATTAAATAAGAATCCACATGTAACATTCATTCATTGCTGTCACCTTTGTCACAGAGACTTGCCTATATGGACCAGGGCTCAATAAATGTTGGTGTCCCTGTCCTTCCTAGGCCAAATTTATTAGGGGAGTGGATATTTGTGTCCATATTTCAGCTGCAATGGGGCTGGTGTTCAGGGATCAGCCTCCACCAGTCGCTCTGGGAAGCTGTGAACTAGAAGAGCTGGGAGTTTGGAGACTCCTTTCTGGGACTTGGCCCCTCTCCCTGACAGTCTTCCTCGGAGGCGTTTGTAAGCTTGGGTGTCAAGGACCTGCTCTAATCTCTAAGCCAATACAAAGCCAGCGAAATTAAAGGGGTGGGTGGGGAACAATAAAGGACAGCAAACTCTGCCCCTCCAAGTCATACAGCATCAGATATGAAGCCACAACCCCTCCTCCCTCAATATGCACAGGAGGAGACAGGTCCCCAGGCAGGGGATGTGACTTGGCCTGTCATCATACAGCCGGTTAGTGACAGTCACTGAGATTGGGAAACAGATCTCTGGACTTTACCTCTTTACCCACAGAAGTGGTTTTTAGGGTCATCAATCTAGCAAGCAAGATGTGCTGGATGTCACATACTGTGTGGTTGGGAGGAAAGAAAACACCACTTCCTGCTCAGCTTCACCTAATCAAGCTTCACTGCCACTGCCCAGGAAGCCCTGGCTGGGAAGGTGTGCCCTGCCCACGTGCCCTGCCTGAGAAGGGCCTGCACGGAGAACAATCTATTCAGTTTCTTTCATTCATTCACTCACTCACTCATCCTCTATTCTTGAAGCATTTGTTGAGAGTCTGTAGTGGGCTAGGGGGGAGCTGGGTTCTTGAGCATGAAGTAGAAATGTCTGTCTGTTTACTCATTCAAAGGCAATGAGATCAGGGATATCAGAGCTAAGGACTCTACCAGCCAGGAGCTCCCAGCCCTTGTTACCCCATCAACAGCAACGACACCTCCCTTTAGTAACATCATGGATTACATTCACCCTTTACCTACACACACACACACACCACCGAGGAGAGAGAGGACACAGCCAAGGCTATGGGAAGAGGGAGGGAAAGGTCCCACCCACTGTCCCACTTCAGGATCTTGGGTGAGATGCATATGGACTGGGAAAGGTCTAGTAGAAATTCTGCTCCTCCCACCCCCACAAATGAGTCTTCCCCACAGCTGCAGACAGAAGAGGCCACCCAAAGCACAGGAGGAGTGACAGTAGTCACTACATTTATTGAACACTTACTGTATGCATTTACTGGCAAAACACAGGAGGGAAGTACAACGGAGGCTCAACTCATCACTCATTTCATGGGGATCACATTTTGCTTGAACGGAGCAGACACTATTAAGCATACAGGGACATGTGTAACCAAGCTCTGGAAATCCAGGCACTGCTCTTTTTACCCCCAAAAGTATGTTAGGAGAGGTTACCACGGTGACTGGAGCACAAGAAGTCACTGAGACACACAATTTAATTAAAGAGCAGAGACACAACTCTCCATTCCAGTGCTCTAACTCACCACTCCGGTGATGAAGGAAAGTACCAAAGACACTGGAAAAATACCATAAAATTGATGTACTTGTTTTCTTAACTCTATTGGCCGATTCAGTTTAAAGTCAAATTAGTAAACTACTTTAGCTTGGAATAGAGGCAGTAAGCAAAGTATGAGAGGAGCATTATATTAAAAAAGTTTTAATCAGCAAAACAAACCTTTCCAAAGATCAGATTCTGAAAGTTAATAGCTTTTTTCCCTCTTTGTACAAAAAAGCTTCCCTTAAGCGAAAGAGTTACCAATAAATTAATTTATGTTGGGAATCTTATATATATATATTTTTACATGCTTTTTCAAAGTTTTCAGGGTAGCGTTGCTATATAAAATGCAAGATGTATTTTAGTGCATGGAACATACTCATGCTAAGAACTACTGATTGCTTATCTATTAGAATTTAGCTGTGCATCTGTATTTTTATTAGCTAAATCTGGGAACTTTATTTTCAGGATAACATATCTTTGGAACTTCCAGAGGTTTCCAATAGTGGGGGATTACTAATTTATCTTCATTTATATGCTAATTACTGCCAGAGGAGAAGACTTATTCTTCTCACAGGAAAATTGTAGCTAGTGTAGGACATACTCAAATATTGGAGCTATTTTTATTTTTTAGGCCTTTTATCATTACTATTTTAGCAGTGCACATTTTAGTTGATTGAACTTTTACTTGAAATCTTTAAGACTGTGGTCAGAGGAAGGAATGCTCTAGCTTAAAAACCCTCATGTAGATTACCGGCTATTAAGCAAAAGCAGTGCTCACATTTTGCCAAATTCTACAATGTCCTTTACCCATCACTTCTTGTCACGCTCTTCTGTTCCCCTTCCACCTTTTTTTTTGACAATAGAAATCCCTCACCCTATACCACCCAGAGCATCAGGCCTGGATCAGTGTTTGGTTATGGCCCCTGAAAGAAGAAGCAAAAGACAAGCTCACTTCTTCTCAGATACTTGGAGGCGTGAAGCTGGGGACTTCCTTTTTTAAAATTTGTGTACTTGTTTACTTCCCATGCTAGCATGCAAGCATGCTTCTGTCAAAGTGGTCTGCATTTTTTTAAAATATGTCCATATTAATTTATCTAAACAAAGAGGACAAGGTTACTCTTAAAAGAAAAACAAAGCAGTGCTGGTAGACTAGACTGGCACATACTATTCTAGAAATGCACTTCTTGGTATCTGAGTGTGTAATGCACATCTTGTTTTAAATTGATATTTCTTAGAGGAGAGAGGTTTCAACATTAACTTTGCCAAGAACAAGTTCACATGAAGGATAATAAAATGATTAATACTAGCTGAATTCCAACATCCATTAATAATTCTATTTTTAAACAACAAAGAGTTTCCTTATATGTAAAGACCATGATTATATGTCCAATGTATATACACACATACAATTAACTGGTTATTAGCAAGTTGCATTTAGAAACATAGACAGTGTTGGCATTCAAAAGCTGTTTGCTGACTACCTCCAATTATGATGAGTCTGCTTTGGGGGCTTGACTATAGACATTTTTACCCTTGGCCTTACAATTCTCCTGTACCTGGAAAGTCTTTCTGGAAGAGGAAGTATAGATGAATATGAAAAATTAGTGAAGGCAAAGAAATTATGATGTTAAATTACCACATAAAGGAGAAGTTAAGCAATCTATATCACGAAAGTAGCAAAAACATCCTATGCACCTTCTGCTGCTCAACATTCTGTATGGTAAGATCACATTCCATCTGGCTATTTCCTTGTATTCTCTTCTCTTTGTGGAAACATGAGCTCTGAATTCTGTGTTTCAGAAAACATTCTTTTTGCTCGTCTGATGACAACATGGGCCTCTGTCCTGAGTAACTTCAAGATGAAAAAAAAAAAATCATATTGTTCTCTTCCTACAAAAATGGTCAGAGGAGGTCTGCTTTCTTCTCTTGGTGGAGGTTACTGTATGTAGTGAAAGCCCAGGGTACTCCCTGGGGGCAAGGAGCTTTCACCGCTCTTCAGTAGCAGAAGAAACAGAGAATAGAAGTATCACTACCAGAAGCAAGAACCCACCTTGGGTGTTCCAGAACCTTCTGAAGCTCAGCAGGGTCTGAATCTCCACTTTGAACAGGTGCTTGGTAATTACATTTGCAGCCTGAACCTGGGGGACTCCCACCAGCTTGCTGAGGCTTTCTGATGGTGAATGTTACTGGGAATGTCTTGCCTTGACCTAACTGGAAACCAAGTCAGGGCCCCCCTCCCCCGCCAGTGCATCTCCTTCTGGAACTGGAGGAAGGATGAAAAGCAGCCAGGGAAGCGCTTCCATAGGACATGGGGCCTGCCTGCTGCACTTCCCTCCTCCTCCCGCTCCCTGGCCCCCTCCTCCCAGCGCAGTGGAGGGCAGGCCGCTCACCGGGGTGCAGCAGAGGCGCTCATGTGGCTGTAGGAGTACCTGGACAGGGACGCCCCCGAGGTCCTGCCTTCCTCCTCCTCTCCCACCTCTCCTCTCGCCCCCGGGGGCCCCGGGTTGGGGCAGCAGGGAAAGGTGGCCATGAAGCCGAGGCGGAACCGTTTGTTCATGAAGCAGTAGATGATGGGGTTCACACAGGAGGAGGTGTAGGAGAGCAGGAGGATGAAGGAAATGGGGGTCCCTGAGAGGTGGCGCTCGGCAGAGGTGGTGTCATAGGCCCGCCAGGCGTTGGCGCTGAAGATGGGCATCCAGCACAGGAAGAAGAGGACCACGATGACCATGAGCATGCGGATGACCCGCTTCTTGGCCATCAGGTTGGCGGCCGAGCTGCTGCTCCGGACGCGGTGGAGCCTGCCGCTGCCGCTGCGGGTGGACAGCTGCTGGAGCTCCAGCCTCCTCGGGGACCGGGACTTCTGCAGGTAGCAGCCGTCGCTGTCCTCAAATCGGCTGCCACTGCCCGTGCTCGGTTTCCTCTCTGGGAGGGCAAGGGACATCACTTATTGCTCAGGAAGGGTCATGCCAGACAGAGGGCATGGAGCCTCAGCCTCCCTCCATCTGGGAGGCCAAGACAAACCTGAACTGGAGAATTAGACAGGCCACCTTGACCTACACTGACCTTGGGTAAGAATTGATCTGTACTAGTTCTCTCCTTGGAATGAAAAGCCACTTAAAACTAGTGTGTGTGTGTGTGTGTGTGTGTGTGTACACAAATAAAATGTAATGTGATTTTAATAATATATGTGAATGACACAATGTATAATAATACCTGGGACAAAATAGTATAAGGATAGAAATTATTAGATAATTTTCCTGTCTTTCCTGGTCCCCAGGGGAAGCTCCTGCTTGCTTGCTAAGTTTCAGAGAGTTTTTATTGTGAGGAATCTAGATGGTGAGAAAGAGTCAAGGAAACCCACAGAAGTCAGAGAGACTAAGTTATCTACATAGTAAAAAGCTAAGTGAGGAGGTGGAGTGAAAAGGAAGAGGCTATGTCAACACAGGTGTTGGTACAATTTTAGTGAGTGGGGAAGGGGTCAGGCTTTGTGGTCACTGCAGAGTGAGCATGAGAGTGGGGAGAGAGGATGGGGCTTGTGGAGTGTGGGTCAGATCTCTTCTGAGGCCTTTGGAGAGACCCAAACACAGGCCAGGATTATAATTAGCTTTGGTTATTGCAGGGTGTCCACTTGAATACAGGGGGACGAAAGGTCTGGGACGTGTGGCTCTCTGCTGATAATTGGGTGATATGTGTATTATCTCTTTTTATTCCTCTTGGTGCCCTTTTGAAAGGAATTATTTACCCATCTTATAGATGAAGAAATAGAGGGTGGGAAGCAATCCTGGGCCTATGACACAGAGTTTCATAAGAATTGTCTTCAAAGACTTCCGTATACTCTGTGAACGGTCTGGTGTGTCCTCTCAAGTCAAGACAACACGCTTTCATGCTCTTTTGACATAAACAGACAGTTAAAAGATATTTACCTTTAGCAGATTTCTTCTGGCTAGCATCAAATTTTATTCCTTGATAGAGTTCCAAAGAGATTAATCCATATGCCACCATCATCACAATTCCAGGAATAAGAAAGAGGATGAGCAGCAGGAACGTGTGCCTAATAAAATTGAAAGAAATCCAATTACCAGCAACTCTGGACCTTCAGACTCAAATGGGAAGGGATGATCTGGGGGCATCTTTATTTGAGCTGGTCTGAGCAGACACATTCATTACTAGTCTTTAATACCCTTGAAAATTCCATGTCTGGAGGTTCCGTCATTAGAAGTTGTTTTCGTCTTTTCTTTTTTTAGATGGAACGTCTTGTGAAGGACGAGTCAAATTGAAAAAGGTTGGCATGATTTTGTGCCCGGAACAAGTTTACATGTTAGAAAATAATAAAAATCTGGGCTTGGTGATGTATGCATGTGACCCCAGATGTCAGGTGTCTGGGACAGAGGGTAGAGAAGCTTGAGGACGGCCTAAGTGACCTAGGGAGACCCTGTCTTAAAAAAAAAAAAAGACAATAACAGGGAAGGGGATGGGAATAGGAAAGAGAGTAGAATGGATCGGACATTACTTTCCTATGTTCATACATGAATATCACATTATGTACAACCACAAGAATGGGAAGTTATACTCCATGTATGTATGATATGTCAAAATACATCCTATAGGCATGTATATCTAAAAAGAATAAATTAAAAATACATTTAAAAAATAATAGTAGCTTAAAAATGAGAATATGTGATTTATTCATTATATATGTCACCAAAAATAATAATCATAATAATAGAGATTACATTCTTTGATGATTTGTAATATGTGCTAAACACCAGGTTAAGCATTTTACATAAAATAGTACATTTAACTCCCATAATAACCTTTGAAGTAGACACTATTATTCTAATTCCTATTTCAGAGAAGAGGAAATTGAGACCTAAATAACGCGTCCAAAGTCACGCAGCTAGTGACAGAGTTGAAATTTGAACCCAAGCAATACAACTCTGGAGTTACTACTCATAAGCATCACAATATACAGTTTGTTGACTTTATAGCAAGAGAATAATCAAATGCCTACACAGGGGTGATAGAAAATCTCCTTTTTGTTTTATGAAATATGGCATCCTGTCTCTTTCTGACCCCCCAGCAGCTCAAAGATTTCCTTGGGTGTTTATTCTCCACGGTGGCATGCTTGGTAGAGTGCCTGGCTGGGTAGAACTCTGCTTCCTCTAAACACATTTGTTTCCCGAGGCACCGCGGCCTCCTCTCTATGAGTCCGTCCCCTAAATCACTTCTGCAGCCTGGCAAGTGTAAGGCTGCAAAATTAGGCCATCAAATTGTCAGAGGCTGACCGCGGCTGGGCCATTTCTCATCACAACTGGACATGTTGATAAGATTCCTTTTCAGGTCTTAGAGATATCCCTCTCCTTTGTAACATAATTCTTTTTTTTTAATTATAGGTGGACACAATATCTTTTTTATTTTTATGTGGTGCTGAGGATGGAGCCCAGTGCCTCACACATGCTAGGCGAGCACTCTACCTCTGAGCACAACCTCAGCCCATGTAGCATAATTCTTTGTGTGTGTGCGTGTGCTACTCGGTTAAAATGAAAAGAGGAAGGCAGAGAAGATCTCCGTCTTGAGCCTCTGTTTCTGAATGCCTGCTTCTGGCTTCTAAAACATGCTTGGAATTAGTAAACATGATGCTCTGTATTTGTATCGCCTCTTTATAAAGACATTTTTCTACTCATGTTCTTACTGGAGCCTTTAGAGCCACCCAATACGGTAGATTTATTGTATTAATCCCTTGCAGAGGTGAAGACCCTGAGGCCTAGGGCACTGTGTGAACTTTCCCAGAGTTACCCAGCTAGTAAGCCAAGGAACAGGTATTAGAATCTCGCCTTTCTCTGGTCAAGTGTTCTGAGCAAGCATCACAATGCAGCTCTAATAGCCACGCAGGACCTGGGAGTCACTCTCTGTTCTATCTTCAGTTCTTTAGAAAATTGTAGCTTTCTGAGTCACCTGGCTTAAACCTCCACTGGACCTTTTGCAAGCATACTGCAGAGTCGATAAGCTTAGAGGCTGTGCTCCATGTGAGTTTGGTTTATGAGTTTGGGCCACTTGACCTTTCCAGGACTCTGTTCCCTCATCTGTAAAATGGGCACAATGATATTATCTACCCTATAGGGTTTCAATAGTAATAGATTGAAGCAATCTACATATGGCATTTTAAAAAGAGCTTTCCAGCTGTGCGTTTGCTTACTCTTACTCTAGGATGAGGTTAGAATGCCTCATTAGGGGTTAGCAACTCAAAAAGTCTCCAGGACCCTGATCCCCCAAGTATTCTGGCCAAGGCATTCCAGATTTTCATGCTGCAGATGTATCAAGTTATATTTTAAAAAAATAAACACAGTGCCTCCTTACCAGGACTGCTGCATAACATCATTTGGCAGTAGGAAGCGGCACATATTTGCGGTCTGGTTGTTATTTTTGGTAAAAGGCACCAAGTTGCTATAAATGGGGTACGGAGTCATGATGGTAAAGGAGAGGCACCAGGTAGCAGCAATCACCTTCAGAGCGTGGGATTTCGTCTGCCAAACGCGGGACTGTAAGGGCCTACAAATTGCACCATATCTCTCCAGAGATATGGCCACCAGATTAAAGGTGGAAACACTCACAGAGGTGCCTGGGAAGGAAGAAAGAAGCTGATTATGTTGGCACTGAAATCCAAAGTTTATTTGCACTTTAGCTAAAGCATAAAGCATATCTGATCTGCACAGGTCTAATCTCAAAGGAGAATGCTCCAGGGGTAAAGAAATACTGTGCATGCATATTTCAGAAAGATGATCTATTCCCAGCTTTGTTCTGAAAGGATTTAAGGCAGTTAACAAAATGTATTTGCAAATACATCTCCCTGCCAATGTTGAGATAAGTTTATTGAGCTTTGATTGCAATTGAACTCTTGCCTAGGCTGAGGGTGCTCATTAATTAATAACAGGGGGATAAAAATATGGCGCCCCCCTACACAGAAACCTAAAGAAAAGCTCTGATTTTACACATGATCTGTTTGGTTAAATTAACCTTAAAAACCCAAGACTCTCAGGGCTCTGACCCAAAAGGTCACTGGGATTTGAGCTAGAAGCATTAATTTTTTGAAGGCTCTAGTACTTGTTATTTTTAAGACTGAAACATCCTACATTTTAAAATGTAGTTTGTTGAAAAAAAAATATTCAGTAAAAAAATGCAAGAGAAATGTTCTATAGTACAATTAAAGATTTCTCCAGATGAGAGAACTAGGGTTTTCCTTTTTGTTCTTTTGTTTTTCTGTATTTTATTAAGTGTACATCACCATTATAGTGGGAAATACACCTCACTTCAAAACATGTTCTTGGTCATAGTCAAAAAACTTAATTTCCCATAATTTTTATATTATGTATATATGTTTATTATAATGTCTTTAAATTACCCTTGAACCCTTCAGCTATGACTTCTGTCAACTCTTATCATTTCCTCTTACTATGATTTTTTTTCTTTTTGGTGCTGGGGATAATCTAGGGTCTTGGATATGCTAAGCAAGTGCTCTACCACTGAGCTAGGCCTTCAACCCCACTATGATTTCTTAAATCTCAGAATTAATGAAGAATTAGGAACAGAGGTTCTTAACCTGCCAACTTACCATGTGTATGGATATAAATTAATTATCTTTAGCTATGTACAAAAATTCTTTTTTTCTAGGGAGCCTAGCCTAGCTGTCCTTAGAGTCTTAAAGAAGTTCTATCAATCCCCAAACCATTGTCACCCTACAGAACAACATTAAAGTGGACAGGACAGCCCCAAACTCTATCAGCTTGTGTAATGGGTCACACTGGGTAACTGTAAAACCCACTTTCACACTGTCGGGCAAGCACTCTTTTCTTTCTTTCTTTTTGCTACAAATTAGTAGTTTAATGAGTATTCATTGTTGATATTGAGGAGACCACAAATTTGACAGAAGACTCTAAATCGCTGAAATTAAAAATCTAACAAAGTCATATGACATTCCAAATACTTTCTGAATTGTCTTGATTTCCTATTTTGGTTATGTAATTTTTCTTTTTTTTTCCTACTGTAATTTTTAAAAATTTAAAAGTTTTCTTATTAGAAGCCAAGTGAAATTCACATAACACAAAGTTAACCATTTAAAGACAAACCCTTTCCTGGTGCTCATAACGTTGTGCAACCATGAAAGCAAGGGCTCCCTTTCGATCTTTCATGCACTCTGAGGAAGGTTCTCAAACAGAAGGACCCTACTGTGTACGTGGACAGGACTTGCAAATGTAAAGCACTCTGAAATGTTCGTCATTGTTAGCGCTTCATTGCTTAACAGTGATCCTTGTCATTTGTAAGTCCTTTTCTAAATGATAAGTTCAGAGTCGGCCTTGGACTCGGCTGACGTGTTCTTGGTTACTTGTCCCTGGCACGAGGCTCAGCAATTCATCTTCATTTTGTCTGTACTGAATCCCGCTTCCTCAGTTGGGAAAAATAAAGGCTTTTAAAGCTTTCCAGTCATTGAGGACTGCCCTCACCAGCTCAGTGCTGTATATTTTATAAGATTTGGGTCAGAACTAAAAACAAATCCCCTCTCATTTCCATTTCTCCCTTTCTCTCAATGAGTTTGCACAACAGGCAAGGGACAAGGCAATCTGGCAGACACAGGGGACCAAGAAACACATTCTTTCTTTCTTTTTTTTCAGCTTCAGGAGAACTACAGAAGTTGACAAACTAATGCTGTGTGCTCACACTGTGGTGGCCGCTAACCTGGGTCAAATCCCTGCTGTGTCACTTAGCGCCCGTGTGTCCTCAGGCACATTTTTGACTCTCTATGCTCTGTTCCTTCCTGATGAGAAAGGGAAGAATAACTGTATTTACTCCGTAGGGTGGTTGGAAGATAAAATAGGACCATGGAAATAAAAGCAATTAGCACAACATCGGATGCATTAAAAGCACCCACAAGATAGTAGCTCTTGAGATTTGTTCAATAATCGTCATTTTAATTTTGATTTGCATTAGCAGAGAGCTGCACTATCCTAGCCAGTCAGGGTCATTTCATTGACCACTGCCCCCAGAACACATTCTACTCCTCTTCAGGGACAGAGACTCTCTCTCTGCCTGAGCAGGTCCTAGCCCTATGAGGGGGAACAATCTGGGAAGTGAATCCTGAGAGAAAAACTTGACCTGTGATAAAACTGGCTCAAAATAACCTCGTTCCCTAAGAAAATAAGAGGCCCAACCTCAGAGAACCCTCCTCCACGACCCTTACCATCCCTCGAAGCCCTGACCCAAGTTCAAGTTGGGAAGAGATCAGAATACGATGAATGGCATCCAGAAAGGCACAGACAGAACAGAAACTTGAAGACAGAACAGAAACAACAACCCCTTCTGTGTTTGCACATCAACTTCTGACACACGACAAGGAACCAACTTCTGGAGATGTGCGAGGACTGTCCTACCATTTAGCCATTGCCAGCGTCCTTGTCCTTGTGCACAGCCGGACACAGCCACGTGCTCTGTGTTTTCAAACTCAATGAGGCTCCCCTGCCCTCGCTACCAGGGCTTGGGAAGCTCTGGGCTGAGCAGGGGTCTGGGGAGAACTCTAGAAATAGTCACCTGCAGCAACTCACCCATGAAGTAGGTGGTGGTCTTGCAGACAGCACTCCCGAAGATGAAATCCTTGAGCAGGTTGGGGATGAGGTTGAAGGGCATGCAGAAGAGGCAGAGCATGAGGTCACTGACAGCCAGGGACAACAAGAAGATGTTGGTGACGGTCCTCATCCTCTTGTTCCGGATCAGCACGGTGATGACCAGCGTGTTCCCCAGCACGCTGAGCAGGAATATCAAGGAGTACAGGAAAATCTGTACTGCCGGCTGCCACTCTGCCGGGAGGGACGAGGTGATGGGAGCAGAATGTTAAAACCTCAGCGCACCAAGCGGATGGCTCCTTCCTGCCAACCTGTGCCCCCAGGGGTGGGCATCTTCAAACCCAAATAGTCCCGAACTGACATCCATCATTTTTGCAGAAACAAACTGAGAAAAGCACCGTGTGATTCAGTTGCTTCTAAAAGGTTGGTTTGTTAAAAGAGCTGCCCCGGGAAACCCTTTTTCTTAAGGACAACACTTCTGAATCGTGATGGCTTTCTCTCCTAGACACTGACCATTATTTTGCTTTAATTGCTTCTTCACGCCGGGTTTCCCCAAGAAAAGGCCGCTGCTGAATTGTGACAGTGCCCTTTCTGTCCGGCTTGTAAGTCCAGGCTTCTACACTTGTTCTCCTTTCTTGCTGCTCTCAGCTCTGCCTCACGCTGCCTTTGTCCCCTTCCTGTCCTGCACACGCGTCTCCAACTCTCCCATGACACACAATACCACTCTTTTGACTTTCGTCTGCTTTTGGTCTTCTAGCCAGGCTTTGGCACGTATGACTCTGTCTCACAATGACTTTATTATATTTTCTTTATCAGTCTTGCCTGTGCTGACTTCTCCCTGAACTCAGTAGTTTTCTGAATTAAAAGAATCACTTCTGGCACCTACCTTTGGAGCGCCGGGGCTGATCCAAGCAGAACAGCGTCCCGTTGTCGAGCCCCAGTTCGCAGAGGGGAGCAACGTTGCTCCCATTCACGAGAAGGCTGTCGACCACGTCCATCCTTGCCTGCTGCTGCTCTCCAAGTGCCGGAGAGCCGGTGGATCGCTCACTCCAGGCTCATTCCTCTCCTGACAGCCTCCTCGGTGCACCCTGCCTGGAGGGGCAGGGAGGGAGCCGTGTCCAGGTGTGCCCTCCTTCAGCCATCCCTAAGGGCAGCTTGAGCTCTGCGCCCCGGCTGGGCAGGCATCTGCACTCCTGTGGTGGAAAGGCAGCTGGTGTGAGCCCAGCCTGCTCCACCTTCCAGGCCCACCCCTCCCGTGCCTGGCCAGTCTGAGGTCCCTGAGCAGCCTGGCTGCCAGTTAACCCTTCCCAGAATGTGCCGCTGTATACACACGCACGCACACACACTTCCGCCTGCACAGATGTGCACACAGGCACCGCTCTGGTACCTGTCTTCTCTGTAGAGGAACCTGTCACCATCCCCAACATGCAGGATGAAGCCCACGCTGGCTGGGTGAGGCAGGACCAATTAACATAGTAACAGATCCGACAATGCAGACCCTCAGGATGAAGGGACATGGAGGGACTGTGTTCCTACCTCCCTATAGAAAAGCAATTAGTGCCTTTTTATCTTTGGAACAATGCCCAGCTGTGTGTGGACACAGCTCCTGGGTGGTGGTGCAGTTGTTACCAAGTTCAGCGCTGTCTCTGTGGTCTCTGCCCTTGTTAACCAGAAGGAGGGGGACACTTGAATACGGGTTCCTGGATCCTGACTACCACAAAGTGAGTAAGATTTCGTTCATTCATTTTTCCATTCACACAGCACACACACCACACTCACACACATACACACACACACACACATACACACACGTATGCACACGGAGAGCCTACCATTTGCAAGGCACTTTCTTAGCACATCAGCACATAATAAGTAAGATTGTCTCACATGGTGTTAAACACCATGAAGGAAGCTAAGCAGGGAGAGGTAATGGGCAGGAAAGGATTCAGGGTGCCAATTTAGATGGACAGTCAGGAAAGGCCTCCCTGAGAAGGGGATCATGATCTGAGATATAAGTGACAAGGAGGAGGAGGAAGGCTTATGAAGATCTGGGGAATGCTGTTTCTAGGTAGAAAGAATAAACCTTTTTTAAGTAGGGGTCACAGGCAGTGCAAAGGCCCTATGGTGTGGTGGGAATGAGAGTGGCCTGTTTGAAGAAGAGATAGAAGTAGGAATAAGTGAAGAACAGATGATAGGAGGGGAGGTTAGAGTGGGAACCAGCTCAGGGGTCTGGGTCTTCCAGGAAGCCCTGTAGCCCTTGAAACCCCCTTGCCACCCATTGTACAGAGGGTCTCTTCAGTCTAGACACTTGGGCAGTGGATGACAGCATAGGAATCTGCTTTTCTGAGCCATACTTGGTCAGGCTGAGAGTTGATCTATTGGTCAGACTGAGAGAGAGCTCTGGGCCCCTGTGCACTCACATGTGAGGTCTCTGCCGAGTTGCTGCCAGATGAACTGGCATTTCCCCACCAGGGCTGAGGATGTGGGGCCGGGGAGACACAGTGGTACCTCCTCCCTTTGAAACCATGAACACCTGCTGTTTGGGTCAAATAATCTTAAAAACCATAAGTGGGAGGGACATTGGTGAAGCAATGAGTAGTTATTAGGACAAGCTTTGATCTCAGATCAGATCTGGGATCAGATCTCAGCCTCACTGGCTACCTGAAGGTAGCTCACTGGCTTAGCCTTCTTCATGTGTCAAATGAGATCAAAATGACTTCATAGATATTTGTAAGGAAAATTGACTGATTGACTCAGGACAGTGTCTGATGCACAAAAAGCTTTCACTAAATCATAGATGACAGTATTAATAGGCTTCCAATAATAATGGCTATTTTCTTTTTACAAAGAGGAGACTGAGATCCAGGGTGGCCCCTTGTTTTGCTGGTGAGAACCAGCGGAGGACATCCCCTGGGAGACTCAGCAAGCCCCATCCTCAGGCCACTTCCTGCAGCGTGGAAACTTCTCCATTATTCTAACATCCTGTGGCCCGTTTGGAGTTAGAGGTCTGCTCTCTGTTTCTCCTCCCGTCATGTGTCTGTTGGTTGACTTTTCCCCTGCAGCCTGCCCACTGGGAGCTGACCCTGAGCAGCAGTGTCCTGATCTGGGTAGGGAACAGCACTCAGGTTTGAGTCCTGGATACAGCTAGATGTCACCCCATTGCTGTTGCTGGTACAGGCTGCTTAATCTGCTTTTCCTGGGCAGGCATCACTGGCTACAGAGGGGCCCCTGAACAGTTGGGGAAGCTGCCGGTCCCAAAACCAGAAGAGCAGAGCTGACTGCCCCCCCACACCCCCTAACTAGAATGGAGACTAACTGGGGGCAAGTTCCTTCCTTCCGTCTCCCTCCTTCCCTTCATTCTTTATCTGATCTTCCACGTCCATTGGTTGTTAAGAAGTGGGGGTGGGGTGCTAGAGATTCTGTATTATCACAAGGGGGATGCAGCATATCTGAGTGCTGGTTCACAAGTTTTAGTGCACATCCAAACTACGTAGGTTAGTGGTTGAAAAATTGGAGACTTACACAGGTTCAAAGCCAATCTCAGCAACTTAGTGAAGCACTAGGCAACTTAGGGAGACCCTGTCTCAAAATAAAAAATAAAAAGGACTGAGGAGGTGGCTCAGTGGTTAACTGCTCTAGGTTCAATCCCTGGTAACACACACACACACACACACACACACAAGGTGGAGATTTCCAGAATTACCTCCCAGAGATTCTGATAACTTCAGCCCCAAGGCCTGGGAATCAGCATTTGGGGACTTTTAAACCAATTTATGTTTTATTAGTGCATTTTTGTTTTATGTAATTATGAGGTTCATTTTGACATTTTCACAAATGCATAGTACATAATTTGCTCCATTTTGATTCTGGGAATCTGCCTTTTAATCCAGTAATCCTGGCAATTTGAAGACCCATGGGGAGGCTCCCTGGGAGCATGCAGAGTGGGCGGGCAGGCAGCAGGCTGAGGGGCTCTAAGCCTGGTCTTCACCACTGGCCAGTTGTGGAGCATGAACAAAGCACTTAACCCTTCCAAGTCTCAGTTTGCTCTTCTAGAAAATAGATATAAAATAATGCTACCTGTAAACGAAGCGGTACACAGCAAACAATCCTGGAACACAGTGCTGGATACTAATTGTTATTATTAATGGAAAAATAATTTTAGGGATGCTGTCTTTAGCCCTATTATCTTGGCCAGATGGATGGTCTGTCTCTCTAGTACACTAGTGTGGTGTATTGTGTGCGTTCAGACATGTGCGTGGTGTGTGTGTGTGTGTGTGTGTGTGAGAGAGAGAGAGAGAGAGAGAGAGAGGAGAATAAATGAGAAGCTAGGCCCTTTTGTGCCCTTTTAGGATTCAGCTCTGTGGTTCTCTTCCTCCTGGTCGTTTTGCTCTGGGCTGGTGAGCCAGGGTGATCTAACCATTACACTAAAGAAGAGACAGAGTTTTCCAGGAAAAGCTGCTGCGTTCCCAGGTGTCAGTCCCCCTTTCACTCCTCAACAGGCGTCTATTGAGTGCCTTGTCAGTGGTGGGAGCTGCGCTAGGTGCTAGGGATCTGCAGCTATGCAGACACGTTCCTGTCCTCCTGAAGGCCCGTCCACCACGGGAGATGTGCGATCAGCAGATCGGCAAACAGCAGTGCCTTCTCACTTGGTGCCCTGTCCTCTGGTGGGACGCTGCTCCAGGTTAAGTTGACGCACACGGGCGAAAGGGAGTCAGAACGGTTTGGGTTCCTCCCCCATCACTGAGACGTGTGATCCTGGGCAGAGCATAAGCCCATAGCCTCCTGCAAACCCTGTGGGTACGGGGCCTTTCTTTTTCGCCAAATACTGGTCTAGAAAGAAAGAAAAATGAGGAATGGCAATGGGTTCCCGGAGAAATGAGATTAATCACTGCTCCCCACACCCTTCTCCCTCTTAAGGAGTGATCCTTCTCAACCCTGCAGAGCCCCGGGTGTACTTCTGTACTCATTGTAACATTATGTCATGCTCAATGCCGATGTCTTTGATTAAGAAAAAGAGACGGGTCTACGTAAACACAAGCAGATTTCAGGGCCGGCATGGTTTGTTCTTAGAGTGACGTCCCTCCCAGAGGAGCTCAGTCTAGGAGCCTGAGGTGGTTAGCGGCTCATTGAGGGTGCGTGAGACCCGATTCACGGGGCAGCATGACATTTCTTAACGTCATCCTCCCTCTCAGCGGTCTCCCCACAGCCTGTTGCTCAGGGCGTCAATGTCTGAATTCCTCACCGCTCCTCGTGAGCAGCTCCTCCAGGCTGCAGCCTGACAGCCTTCTCCCCTTCCCTTCCCCTAGCCATCTCAGCCTTCTGGAAGTGGCTGAGTGGGACTCCCCTCTGGCTCCCCACTGGGTGCCAGCCAAGCTGCAGCCACCAGGGAGGGCAGGTGCCTGGGGCCACCTCCTGGCCGCTCTTCTTGGAGACATCCTGTCTGACAGTGGATCCTATCTGATGACAACCCACTCCTCACTACAGAGGAAGGCCAGACCACATCTGCCTGAGGCTGTCATTTGCCAGGCATGGGTCAAGTAGCTTTGCCTGAGTCTCCACTTCCTCACCTGTAAAATGGGTTCGCAGTGATCCACTCACCTCAGGGGCTGATGGGACATTAAATGTCATGGCATGTGTGAATAAATACCCAGTACATGCAAGACATGGCACCAGGGCTCAATAAACTTTTGTAATCCCAGTGGCTCGGGAGGCTGTGGCAGGAGGATCTCAAGTTCAAAGCCAGCCTCAGCAAAAGTGAGGTGTTCAGCAACTCAGTGATACCCTGTCTCTAAATAAAATACAAAATAGGGAATAGGGCTGGGATGTGGCTCAGTGGTCCAGTGCCCCTGAGTTCAATCCCTGGTACCCTCCCCCCCCAAAAGACAATAGAATAATGTACCATGGTGTATGTTGATAGGAATGTCAGAATCATCCTCATTGCTGCTGCCTCAAGATGATACTGTGTTAGTAGTTAGCAGGTGTCCTCCCAGCTCATCCTCTAAATGAGTTGTTTCGAAAACCAAACAACTGGAGTAATACTCTGTATATGGTGCTCTTTCTACGTTCACTTTCTGAACATGCAATTTTAAGATAATTTTTTCCTTCTAAATCAGAATTATAGCTCTGTAATGTTATGAGGAAATGTGTTTATTTCTTTTTAAAA